AGATGCTACCTGAGCCCCTGGAGAGTCCCCCCCCCCTCTCCTGGACCCGCCAATGCTCTCAAGGAATGTAAACTCTCCTTCCGCCCCTCTCAAAAAGGTAAATACATAAGAATTTTGTTTTTGATCTTCAAAAGGACTCTTTACTGTGCAGAAAAATTCGCAGATGGATTCATAAACTGTTCGTTTTCGTCATTTTTTTTTTTGAAAATTTAGTAATTTATTGTAACCACAAAAAAAATGCAATCGTTTTTAAAGAACACTGAAAGAAAGAGCCGAGAGACTGTTCGCAACCAAAGGGCACAAACTGAGTGAAATGGAGAAAACGGCTTTGGCGAAACGCAAAGATGTGGATCAGAAGGAGCAACTGAAGCTCCGCCAAACTGCTCGTCTCGAAACACAAATACAAAGGTTTGATTCCTAGCCAGCATTCTTTTGAACGATTGTTTTTGTTCCTGCATTGAGCTCCTAGCTCTTACGGACGCTATGATTCTGCTTGCCAGTTTTGTTCTTGTCTTTTTGTTTTTTGCAGCTCTGCAATGCAGGAAACGCATATTGACGAGGGGTTGTGTATATGAGTATGTGTGTGTGCGTGTGCGTGTGTGTGTATGTGTGTGTGTGTATACGCTTGTACCGATTTTTCATCTCGAGACTTACAAAAGCTACAAGGCTGATACTTGGGGAACTTTATGTACTTGCACATAGGGGCCCTGATCCCCAAAACGGGCGCTCTTACCCAGGATATTCCCATATACGGTCCCATCAAAGTTTCTTATGGGTCAGTTGCTAACTCGGGAAACTGAACAGCTAGAAGGCTGGAATTTTAAGGGGATATTCTCCATTCACGTAGATTTTAATGAGACTAAACCAGACTCGAAGATGAGCGTGGTTCCCACGCATGAGCCCGTGAAAACTTGCCGGGTAAGTTGCTAACTCGGGAACCAGAAAAGCTAGAAAACTGAAATTTCAAAGGCACGTTTCTTGACAGTCTTGGCGGCCAGTCTCAATTCGTTTAGCTGGATGTATCTGCCGAAAAAACCGGTACCGTTAGCGACAAAAACTTGCGGGGAACTGCGCAAAAAACGCATCTTCGCACCAGCAGTTGATGCGCTGGCCAATTATTTTGCACCGCCAAAGCTACAATTCAGTAATAATTCGAAAGTTGTGTTCAGCAAAAGTTCAGGCCTTACGTCAACTTTTCGATTTCAGAATAGCATCCCTGCTAAGTGAAGAAAAAGAAGCGACAAAAGAAAATGTAGAACGAAAGCAAGCACGGGGTGCTGGTGAAAATGTTGAAGAAGAGGATGTGGTCGATGAACTTTCCGATGATGAAGAGGATGACAGCATACCATATAATCCAAAGAATTTACCGCTGGGATGGGATGGCAAGCCAATCCCATATTGGCTGTATAAATTGCATGGCCTCAATATCTCATATCCGTGTGAAATTTGCGGTAATCAAGTTTACAAGGGACCGAAAGCTTTCCAACGA